TGAGAGTGTATGTGTGTGTGTGTGTGTGTATGTGTGTGTGAGAGAGAGTGTGTGTGTGTGTGTGTGTGAGTATGAGTTTGTGTGTGTGAGTGAGTGAGTGTGAGAGTGTGTGTGTGTGTGTGAGTATGAGTTTGTGTGTGTGAGTGAGTGAATGAGGGTGTGTGAGAGTGAGTGTGAGTATGAGTTTGTGTGTGTGAGTGAGTGAATGAGTGTGTGTGTGTGAGAGTGAGTGTGTGTGTGAGTATGAGTTTGTGTGTGTGAGTGAGTGTGAGTGTGTGTGTGTGTGTGAGTGAGTGTGTGTGTGTGTGTGTGTGAGTGAGAGAGTGTGTGTGTGTGTGTGTGTGTGAGAGTGTGTGTGTGTGTGTGTGAGAGAGAGTGTGTTTGTGTGTGTGAGTGAGTGTGAGTGTGTGTGTGTGTGTGAGAGAGAGTGTGTTTGTGTGTGTGAGTGAGTGTGAGTGTGTGTGTGTGTGTGAGAGAGAGTGTGTTTGTGTGTGTGAGTGAGTGTGAGTGTGTGTGTGTGTGTGAGAGAGAGTGTGTTTGTGTGTGTGAGTGAGTGTGAGTGTGTGTGTGTGTGTGAGAGAGAGTGTGTGTGTGTGTGTGTGTGTGTGTGAGTGAGAGAGTGTGTGTGAGCGTGTGTGTGAGTGTGCGTGTGAGAGTGAGTGTGTGTCTGTGTGAGTGAGTGAGTGTGTGTCTGTGTGTGAGAGTGAGTGTGTGTGTGTGAGAGAGAGAGAGAGAGTGTGTGTGTGAGTGAGAGTGTGTGTGTGCGAGTGAGTGAGAGAGTGTGTGAGTGTGCGTGTGAGAGTGAGTGTGTGTGTGTGAGAGAGAGAGAGAGAGTGTGTGTGTGAGTGAGAGTGTGTGTGTGCGAGTGAGTGAGAGAGTGTGTGAGTGTGCGTGTGAGAGTGAGTGTGTGTGTGTGAGAGAGAGAGAGAGAGTGTGTGTGTGAGTGAGAGTGTGTGTGTGCGAGTGAGTGAGAGAGTGTGTGAGTGTGCGTGTGAGAGTGAGTGTGTGTGTGTGAGAGAGAGAGAGAGAGTGTGTGTGTGAGTGAGAGTGTGTGTGTGCGAGTGAGTGAGAGAGTGTGTGAGTGTGCGTGTGAGAGTGAGTGTGTGTGTGTGAGAGAGAGAGAGAGAGTGTGTGTGTGAGTGAGAGTGTGTGTGTGCGAGTGAGTGAGAGAGTGTGTGAGTGTGCGTGTGAGAGTGAGTGTGTGTGTGTGAGAGAGAGAGAGAGAGTGTGTGTGTGAGTGAGAGTGTGTGTGTGCGAGTGAGTGAGAGAGTGTGTGAGTGTGCGTGTGAGAGTGAGTGTGTGTGTGTGAGAGAGAGAGAGAGAGTGTGTGTGTGAGTGAGAGTGTGTGTGTGCGAGTGAGTGAGAGAGTGTGTGAGTGTGCGTGTGAGAGTGAGTGTGTGTGTGTGAGAGAGAGAGAGAGAGTGTGTGTGTGAGTGAGAGTGTGTGTGTGCGAGTGAGTGAGAGAGTGTGTGAGTGTGCGTGTGAGAGTGAGTGTGTGAGTGAGTGAGTGTGTGTAAAACCTGAAAATTTTGACATTATAGGGACCGGCCTGTGGTCCCCACGAGGGAAAAAAATTATTAAAAATAGTAAATGATGTTTATCTGAAAGTGTAACAATGTGAACAGGTTTTCAGTAAGGGGTAGGGTTAGGGGATAGAAAATATAGTTTGGTCAGTATAGCAGTGTGATAGCAGAGATGTTCAGGCCTTTTTTGTGTAAAATGAATTAAAAGGGATCTTTTAGATATGTTCTCTTTTAACTTTTTCATTAAGAGAACATACTGATGTATTGTTTTCCCTTCAATGTAGTTCTTAAAGTTTCTTTGCTTGGCCTTAAAAAGGTCTTAAAGCTGCAGAAATACTGGAGAGACACTAGTTAGATTTGATCCCTCAGTCTTGAGTTAATGTGTTGAATATGAGTCTGTTTATTGTGCTCTCTTTATTGTGACATAAAACGTGTTTCTGATCTTCAGAGTCGTGTGCGAGGCGTTCCTCTGATATTTCTACACACTCGAGATAAAGACACGCCTGGACTTGTGACATGAACGCTTCTGGAGAAAAACAGGAGAATGCACTCTGAGCGTGTGAATGTGAGGATGTGATTACAGTCGATCCGAGCAGGGGTTTCTGAATAAGACCCAATTAAACACCGCTTTGGATCAGAGTAACAGAAGACTGAAGGAGTGTGTGTTTCTGATCTGATCTGAGTGTGAGTTTTCATAATGAACTCATTAATCTGATAAGTAGAGAGTGTGTTTGCGCTGAAACTGACCGTACAGGTTTGCGCTGTGATGTGATCAAAGTCCTTATTGGCTCTGACACAGAACAGGGTGTGACACCGAGTGAGACTTTCTCACACACACACACACACACACACACACTCTCTCTCTCTCTCTCTCTCTCTCACACACACTCTCACACACACACACACACACTCTCACACTCTTTCTCTCTCACGCACACACACACTCTCTCTCACACATACACAGGTGAGTCCGAGCGCTCTGCTTTATGTCAGTTTATTTCAGATTTCAGACTTTTATGTGTGAAAGTATTTGCTTGTTGCCTAACTTTAATATCCAGAATGTTTATATATCTTGTGTTTATCATTAACTCATCTCACTGTCAGATTTAGCATCTGGGAGATGAAGAGCACACAAATATGTGTCCCTGGAGCACAAAAGCAGTGTTGAGTCGCTGGGGGATATTTGTAGCAATAGCCAATTTGTTGAATATATATTCTCTTTGTAGGGTATTTATTCTTCTCTTTTTATCTTTTTATTGTGCTGCTGTGCCAAGTAGCCTTAAGTTCCTCTTTTGGGGAATCAGTAAAGGAACAATACTAATCCTAAAATAGGCATCAGTTCATTTCATAAATAATATATATGAAGTAATTTATATTCTGCATATGTTGTGATGAGATTCACCCTCCCCTCACACACACACACACACACAGACAGGTATAGGTGTGTGTACATGTACATGTGTGTGATGATGATGTGTAAACGTGTGAGTTGTAATGAGCGCAGACAGCGGCAAGAAGAGAGCCGTCCTGAAAGACAGCAGCTGGATCAGAAGAAACCCAGAGGAGGACGAGCTCGTCGAGTATGACACACACACACACACTCACTCACACACACACTCACTCACTCACACACTCACTCAC